GCTAGTAAGAATGGGCTTGGTTCATGGGCTTGGGCCTACTAGGATTTGGGCTTGAGTTCAGTGGGCCTATGGTTTACTGGTTTGGGTCTGAAGACTTGGCCCAAAGGCCTGGGTCTTTGGACTTGGGTCTAGGGTTTCTAGGTAATTGGGTTTGGGCCTCTGGTGACCTGGCCCAAAGGCCTGGATCCATGGATCTAGATTTGGGTTTTGGACTTAGGCTTGGGTAATTTAGGTCGGATTTTGGGTCTCGGGTCGGGTTGACCTGGTTTCAGGTCATGGTTTAGCCGGTTTCTGGGCAAAATTTCAAACGCTCATAATTTCTTCAATACTCAAACAATTGAGTGATTCAAAAACCAAAGTTGTAGTACTCAACGAGATGAAGAAAATGGTACCTTGCACAACGCTAACTCGCCGTGGTTTGGCTAGAAAACACCTCGAAAGGGACGGTGCTCACTGAAAAATTTGGAAAAGCTACTCCTAACTATTTTCTGCTATTCACATGTATACACAACTTAAACAAGCTTCGATCTAACCCTAAAACAGATTCCAAGGATTTTTAGATGCTTACCAATGTTGGAAAATCACGAAACACGTTGGAGAAGACGATGAATAGTGTCGGCCTAGAGGGAGAGAAGGGTTTGAGGTGTTCTTTCTTCGAATTTGAGTTCACAAGGGTGATGGTGGTGGTTTGAGCTGTGTGTGAGTTTCAGAGAGGAAAGGGAGAGTTAAGAGTTAAGGGAGAGAGAGATCCGAGAGTTTAGAGAGGGAGAGTGATGGAAGAGTTGTGAGAGAGAGAAAGAGAGAGAAAAGTTAGGGAAAGTAATAGAGGGAAGAGAGAAGAGGGGGTCACGGGAGGAAAGAAAAAAAAACATGTGGGCCCTAGTGGCTCACAAAAGAAGGCCACTAAAGACGAAGGGATTACCCAAATTCTCACAATTCTAATTAACCCAAGTTTAACAGAATAGGAGAGATTGAAACCAAACTAATAGCCACAAATAAATTGCTGATATAATCTTAAAATAAATGCAATTGTTCGCCTCTTTACCTTGTCCACACTTTCATACCAGATAGGATTCAATTATTTCCATTACAAGATGATGACAGATAGGGGACTGCTCGGTCAGTGCAAGAAAAGAATAATGCTAAGAATGGCGACCAGTCTCCGATCTGTCTTCATCTTTACAAGAAAATATTCAAATCTAGCATGCTAGTAAGAATGGGCTTGGTTCATGGGCTTGGGCCTACTAGGATTTGGGCTTGAGTTCAATGGGCCTATGGTTTACTGGGTTTGGGTCTGAAGACTTGGCCCAAAGGTTTGGGTCTTTGGACTTGGGTCTAGGGTTTCTAGGTAATTGGGTTTGGGGCTCTGGTGACCTGGCCCAAAGGCCTGGATCTATGGATCTAGATTTGGGTTTTGGACTTAGGCTTGGGTAATTTAGGTCGGATTTTGGGTCTCGAGTCGGGTTGACCGGGTTTCAGGTCATGGTTTAACCGGTTTCTGGGCAAAATTTCAAATGCTCATAACTTCTTCAATACTCAAACAATTGAGTGATTCAAAAACCAAAGTTGTAGTACTCAACGAGATGAAGAGAATGGTACCTTGCACAATGCTAACTCACCGTGGTTTTGCTAGAAAACACCTCGAAAGGGACGGTGCTCACCGAAAAATTTGGAAAAGCTACTCCTAACTATTTTCTACTATTCGCATGTATACACAACTTAAACAAACTTCGATCAAACCCTAAAACACATCCCAAGGATTTTTAGACGCTTACCAATGTCGGAAAATCACGAAACACGTCGGAGAAGACGATGAATATTGTCGGCCTAGAGGGAGAGAAGGGTTTGAGGTGTTCTTTCTTCGAATCTGAGTTCACAAGGGTGATGTTGGTGGTTTGAGTTGTTGTGTGTGAGTTTCAGAGAGGAGAGGGAGAGTTAAAAGTTGAGGGAGAGAGAGATCCGAGAGTTTAGAGAGGGAGAGTGATGGAAGAGTTGTGAGAGAGAGAGAGAGAAGAGTTAGGGAAAGTAATAGAGGGAAGAGAGAAAAGGGGGTCATGGGAGGAAAAGAAAAAAAAACATGTGGGCCCTAGTGGCTCACAAAACAGGCCACTAAAGACGAACCACAAAATATCCGAAAAACGTTCGACGTTCGAACGTAGAATCTTCGTTATAAATCTGAATTCAAATCTGTTCACACCTACGAGGTCGTGGCAATGAGTACGATTAGAATAAATAAATTAAACTAGAAACACGCGTTCCGATGAGATGGTCAACATAAGTCAAATTGAGGGTAAAATGGTAATTTTCTAAGTTTGTTAATATGAAAATACACAAAATGTGAGACGGTGTTTCACAATTAATTTAGAAGCAATTAGAGTTTTTAACCCTAGGATTTCGAAAAAACAAATGAAGGGAAATATGGGATTCCTCATTGTTGAGCCGCATCACCACGTCGTGCCGCCAAGCTAGCTGGTCCGAAGCCAGCCGTAGCTAGGACGACATAGTTTTGATGCCATGGACCTCTCGCTGCAGCCCCATGGGCTTGCTGCCATTGCACTGCAACCAAGCCTTAGCCTGAGTTGGTATATGCACGGGCCCGAAGCCTTGAGTCCATTCCAGCAGGCCTGCATGCCTTGCTGGGCTCTATCCTTGTCTCGGCCCATCATGCCAGCAAGCTTTGCTTGCTAGGCTTGCCATCTGCCATGGCCCGCGATCATTGAAGTCAACCCAGATGGCTGGGCTTGTTTCACAAGGCCTAAAAACAAAGCCAGCTTTCAGTTGGGCTTCGCGAGTCTATTCCAGGCCAGGCCCGTGCTAGGCCCGTGTCCCTTCCCCTACTCAAAGCGCCTCTGTTGCCCAAGACCAGCAACTTTGCTGCTGGGCTTTTTCCCCAGACCCAGGCCCGTGGCCTATTCAACCCTTCTTAGGGTCTTGCCCAGTACACGACACCCTAGTCCACCGTGATTGGGCTATATTTTTTCGAACCCAATGTTATTTTTGGTATTCCAGCAAATATTAACCTAAATGTTATTATAATTTTTTGCTTCTACGATCAAATCTGAATAATTACGATCTATTAAATTAATTAAAGTGACCAACAATCCATTAATCTGATAATTAATCTAAAATTATTGACCTGAAGTTCACTTTTTGGTAGTTAACGATTCAATAAATTATTTCGTTTCTTTAAACCGTTGACTATCTTTCGTAGTCCTGATGCAGTCACACTTGGGTTCTTGAAGCAAACCACAAATTCACTACGCTTTATTGTACATAGTATTCTGTGTTCTTGCAGGTACCTATATATGAACCGGATGTTCATAACTAAATCAATCCTGTAGTTTCGAATTTAGTGCCTTTGAAACCCGAAGTTTTCATTCAAAACTTATCACATGAAACCCATAGCTTTCATGCTTAAATTAAACCAATACATGTCTATAGAACCCGCATATTCTACGATATATGTCAATGGATTTGCATATGACTAACCACGTTTTGTTGTACCCTCTGTTTTTGGGACATGTCGAACCTGAACAAGCTCAATTTCACCACTTTGGAAGTATCTAGAAGAAACTACTTGAAGTGGGTTCAAGATGTGAAGCTCCATCTTACTGCAAAAAGTCTTAGAGCTCCTATCGAGGAACCTATCGACGATGAACCCATCGACGAAGCTGAGAAAGTTACTGTTATGATCTTCATCTGAAAACACATCCATGATGCAATGCAAACCGAACACCTCGTAGAGGAGGATCCATGTATTCTCTAGCTTGCTTTGGCCGATCGCTTTGATCATCAGAAAAACATATACTTGCCTGAAGCAAGACACGACTGGTAGCATTTATGCTTCCAAGACTTTAAGTCTGTGAATGAATACAACTTTGAAGTTCGTAGAATCCGATCGCTTTTTAAATTTTGTAAAGAGGACTTAATTGAACAGGATCTCCTGGAAAAGACCTATTTGACTTTCAATGCTACCAATATCATCCTGCAGCAACAATATAGGGTACAGAAGTTCACCAAATTTTCAAATTTGATCTCTATTTTACTTCTTGCTGAAAAGAAGAACCAGCTTTTGATGAAGAATCATCAAGCTTGACCCACTGGCTCGAACGCTCCACCTAAAGTGCATGCGACTAATTCTAGCAGCCACAACCGACGAAAATACTGTCGTGGCCGTGGTAATGGGTGACAAGCCCTACCATGAGCCCAAGGCCAACAGAAAAAAGGCCCACCCAATGGAGGAAATTTGACTCAGAAGCGCTAACCCCTTGCCTCTAAGGCCCCAAACTTCAAGAACAAGGGAAAAGCTACCGTTCAATCAACTTCTACTGAATTAGACATGTACTATCGTTGTGGATCAAATGATCATTGGTCACGTGTATGTCGAGTTACCTCAGAGGCTATTACCAAGTATTATTCCCGTCGTGAGTCTAACTTTAAGCATGTGAAACATCTCGAAGATGCTACTACACTATGAAGGTTTCATATTTTCAAGAGGCATCTACTCCTATGGAAGAATAAAGTTTTATTTTTCTAAGAATATTTAGAGGACTAAGCTAAAGTTGCATAACTGATGCCATATCGCTATGTTATTCAACTAACAAATTTAATAGCCCAATATATATACACGAAAACGCGTTGAAACCACAAAAGAAGTACTAGAACCCTAAAACTAAGATATTAAATTCAGACATTATCTATTCTAAAATTAAGGATAGTAAAATGATTCACCCTTGATTTTGCCTTATTTACATCAAAGCCACCAAATATGTGTCTAGGTTGGAGATTAATTATTAAAAGTTAAGAGGGTAATTGTGTTAGTAGGTTTGGGTTTAGGGTTGTGCCATTGTTGCCTGATTTGGGCTGGTGGGTTTTGGGCTCAAAGTGGGCTGCCCAGTTGGTAGACAAAATTACCCTTTTGCCTACTTTAATCAAGATCCAACGTATAAAATTTGGGGGCAAATTGATCAATTTACACCAAGGATAGGGATCTGGTGTCAGTGGGTTGGGTGCAGGAATTGGGGTAGATGGGACTTCACAGCATGATTTGGGGGAGAGAAAGAGAGGGGGTTGGGTGCATGATTTGAGGGTAGGTTGAGGGAATGGGTTTCTGGATTGCACTTTCTTCTCTGTTTCTTTTTTCCTTCGAGCATCCGACAATACTGATATAACATCGGGTGTAATGTTTTCCTCTTTTCGTTTTCTTTTTCCCAATTTGTTGAATTTGTATTTTATTGTTTGCATATTACCCTTTGACGGCAAGGTAGCGATTGTGATGGCTTCCACTCAGGGCATCGACTCTTAAAGGTGCCTCCGTCGTCATCTCTTCTCGCAAGCAGATCACAATACAACTAGCTTCCCGTCGAAAAAGTGAGCTTCTATTTTATTAGCTTGGGGCAGTTCAATTTACTTGCCGAAAAGAAAAAGTTATAAAGCTGTTTATTTGTTGCATTTTCTATTTATTTTTTGTATTTTATTTTTGGCCTGAAATTGTGTTGATATTTTCTAGGTTGTTTGAAATTTCACGAATTCAAATATGAAATCGTATTAATTTTCACGGCATTATCAATATCGGCCCCGATTCATCTGTGAATGAAGCTTGGAAATTGGAATAGATAGCCCTGGTTGTGTGAAATGTTTGGCTGAGATTTTGTATTGTTCCATTAAAAAAAATTAATTCTTTCTGCCACCTGGGCCAGAACTCAAATATTTGATTTTTCACTGTGGTTTGTTACTTTGATGGTTGATCACAAATTTAATTTCCTTCTTTTCTCTTATGTGTTCTTGGTAGCGCCCTGCCCTCACTTTCTTGATTATCGGTTGGAAATGTAAAAATGGATGAGCTGAGAAAAAAAGAGAGGTTAGTTTTCTGCATTTGCATCTCTCTGATTTTTTCTTGTGCTGAGTCCTTAACACTATTTCTGTTATCGAAGTAACTGTTTACAATTACCTTGAGCAATTCTGAAAGACTTATTTATCATGTCGATTCAGTTTGATTGATTTTTGAATAATTGATAAATGAGTGTTAAATTGTGGGTTACAATTTTATAACCCACAGCAGAATGTGGACACATTTGCTAGTTATACATCGAAAATCATAACACCAATAGCCATGCAACTTCGTCATCGCAGATAATTCGCATCCAACGATTTTATCTCGAGCTGACAAATGCACTTCCTTAATTCTAAAACGACAAGTAAACAAAAAAGATTCAGATGATATTGTACATCGATGTAGCTTGGCAGTTCTAAATTTGACGACCCGCTGGTTAGAAACTGTTGAGAGTTGTTCCACATCGGTGAGAGACAAGGTTTGCTATGTGATCTTGGGTCATATTGCCAATTGATTTTATGGTGGAATCTCAATTTCATGATAAACTAGACGCTAAAGATCATTGAGAGGAACCAACTGGTGCTGAGGCAGGAGTGGAATGTCATGCATGTAAGGTGGAAGTTCCGGAAATGGTGCTTCGAGCTGAAGAACCTTCATCACTTGTCCGACTTTTGGCCTTCCCTCGCTGTTGGGCTGAGTGCACCATAATCCAACAACTAACAAGCATTCCATTTCGTTTCGGTCAAAATCCACTTCCAATCTTTCATCAGCTACACATAGAAGATTTCCAGCAAGGTAGAGTTGCCAAACCCAACTCACAAGTGGCAAGTACAACCCCCCATCACAGTAAGTCCTCCTTCCACATGCAAGTTCGAAGGCGACAGCTCCAAAACTAAACATGTCAGATTCTTTACTGGCTCTCCCTCCGTTTGCATATTCAGGGGCAATGTATCCAAAAGTCCCTACCACCCCTGTTATCTGAATCTTGAACCGGGGATCCACGAGCTTGGCAATCCCAAGATCCCCAAGCTTAGCACTGAAATCTTTGTCTAACAAGTCATTAGCTGATTTGATATCCCTATGAAGAACGCACTGCTCTGCGCCTTCATGTAGATAATGAAGAGCGGAAGCCAAGCCTAAAGCTATCTTGTACCTGAAATCCCATTGCAATGTTGTTTTTGAGCCAAATAGATGCGTATCCAGGCTGCTGTTTGGCATGTATGAATGAACAAGTAAGCATTCTCCTTGCTCATGACACCATCCGATGAATTGCACCAGGTTTCTATGTATCAACCGACTTATTATCTTCACTTCATTGACAAAAACTCCCTCGTAGTGCTCAGATTCCGTGAAGACTCTCTTCACATCAACCTTGCAGCCTAGGTCTCTTATAGTTCCTTTATAAACCTGTCCTGAACCTCCGCGACCTAGCCTTCCGTCATTTGCAAATCCATTGGTGGCTGCAACTAGTTCTTGGTAAGAAAATCGTTTTGGCAACGCTAGTCTCTGAAGATCTGAATTTATAGAAGACACCAATTTGGAGTACTTTTTGTGCCCCTTAGTCTTGTTTCTCCGTTTCCTCGCAACCAGCAACCAACGTACGAACATACCAAGCATGAAAAGAATAAGGAAATTACAACGAACGCAATCCAGAAAGTGATTGTCCTTCTTTCCTTCGTTTTACTACTTTGATCATAAGAAAACGGACTTGTACTGAAATCCCATGAATATAAAAGATGCCTCTCAGGGTATAATCCAGTAGCAGCTGAAAAACCAATTGTAACCCATTCAGGGAGAACATTTCGTAAGTCAATATGGTAAGAAAGGGAAGGTCTAAGCACAAAGTAAAGAGGACCCGGGTATCCCTCGTAGGACCAAACCACTGAGAGTTTTGGTTTTAGATATATAAAATATCCATACTTCAGCCATTCTTCCATTACTGCTACTAATATCCCAACTGGCATTGACAACTGAGGAGACTTGATTCACATTGATCCCAACATGTGATCCTGGTGGATCCCATTCTTCGTTTGAGAAAGTATCAAACTCAACTGTTACAGTGTTGTTTTTCGATTCTGCGAAATTCGTGGCGGTGCTGAATAATCCTAGACCACCCCCGGCAGAGTTAGGTGGAATTGGAAAGCCAACAGGAGCTAGGAAAAGGGCAAATCCATCACTAAACTTGGTGCTGTGATTATGATTATCGATCTTGAAAATGAAATGCGTTGTGAAATCTGTCAGTGTCCTTGTTCTAGAGTTCCAAAGGTGAAAAGGTTCTCTATATGTACACCGTCCTACGCGAAATAATTCATTAGCTTGGTTGAATTCGACAAGTGCTTCTAATGTATCCCTGGCATAACCTTCATAGACCAAGTTTTTGTTGGAGGTGCATCCCCGATATGGTGAATGAAAGTGCATGCGTGAAATTTGGAAGAGCAATCGGAGAGAGAAAAACGATGAAAACGAAGAGATAAAGGTAGCAATTATTAAAGTAGTACCGAGGAACACAAAATGTCACCTTCCTGCTTAGAGGCATCCTAACTTTGTGCAACCGATCGAAGAAAGTCTGCAGATTATTTTTCCGGTTGTTATACTTTGTGAAGGCAAAGCTTTTTAGTGTTTGGTGAAGAGTGGCAGACCGATCGACATAGGTACATAAGTTGAGAAAAACAAGGCATATATAGGATTAAGGTATGTGTTTCTTTCGTAACAGTTGCATCCCAGCCTAGGAAAAATCTAAGAGAAAGTTGCTGCACTATTCTATTACTCGCATGCGACATGAACCATAAGTCGGATGCGCGTTTTGGGAGTTCGGGTATATCAATGTGTTCCATAGCTTCAAGGTGCGGACGATTACGAATTGACGATGGCGATGACGAGTCATTGAATTAATCAAAGATCGAAAAGACCAATCATTACGAAATTCTTGCCCCTATACATTTTGGTGAATGAAGAATATATTCTACAGTTTTTGTAAATACGAAATTTTCGTGCAATGAATGTAACAAGAACACGTGTATAAAAGAAAGGATTCATATTAGTGAGAAAAATTAGGGTTACAATCTCTTAGTACAAGGCTTGATCCTTTTATTCCATCTCCAAAGTAGAATTTGATTCAAGGGTGGTGAACACTTGATCATGAATCAGGGTTGTGATTTCTTTAAGGGTTGTTGAATTGATCTTGAACAAATCGGGACCACTGAGTAGTGTCAAGTGGTAAGTGATCTTTGACTTTGATGGTGTATGAGTCGACACGTATGCTTGTTGTACTTGTTGATTCTCCACGAGCGAAATGAAGATTGCAGAGAGTTTTCTAAGTCTTCTGAGTTTGTATAGTGTGTTTGAGAGTCCCTTATTTGTCTTGAAGGTATTTATAGGCCTATCCGTGATTCTTTGTATTGAACCAATTCATTTTCCGGGCCTTGATTTAAGGAAATTGGCTGCATAAATTGTTTTGACTAAAGCTTGATTTGAACTTAATTTGAACCAAATCACTTAACTCGTTAATTTAACCAAATTAACCTTACAATTGGAAGAAGTCAAATCAATTAGCTTGGTAATTGAACTAAATTAATTAATTGACATGATTTATGTTTGATTTAAGTCAAGGTCAATTAAAAAAATAAGTTGCCTCCGTCCTCGTCTGGCCCCAACGCTGATCCATCTAAATGAATTAATTTGTTGAGGGTGCAATTGAGTTGCCCAAAAGGTGCTGGCCAATTTCATCGTACTTGATTTTGATGTAACCAAGATATTGTAATCTGGCCTTGATTTGGAAGTAATTTGAACCGAATCAATTAACTTGGTAATTTAATTAAATAAATTCATTGATATGATGTATGTTTGATTTAAATCTAAGTCAATCAAAAGATAATTCCTCAATTGTTTCCACCATTAATCTGGTAATTCTATTTCTTTTCATCAATTGTCGACACATGTAATTTTGATGACTCGTTCGACTTTGATGAGTCACATACTATGTGTGCAATTTGTGAGACACATGGTGCAACAAACCACATAAGTTCTAGCGGGTCACAATTTAACGTGTTGGTGAACATTTATTTTGCTCAAATTTCGACGTCTACAATGTTATTCTTAGACATCTAATGCAATTTGTTATTTCATAAAAAGGAAAAACTTAACTCAGACATTATACACCCGATATCATACAACTTTGCAGCATGATGTAAGGCAGTCCTTTGAGGGGAAGAAGACGGAAAAAAAAAAAATAAATAAATAAAAACAAGTAGGGGTCTTGAAGATATTATGCATGGATGTTGCTTGGTGATCGTGCTACTTTAACGACCCGAGGTGTTGAAGCTCGAAGTTATAGATACATGAGATTCCGATTCAGCTACTTGTTGAAGAGGATGAAACGGCGGAGGATGGTGAGGTCGGTCCTCTGGAAGCTCAGGCAGTGGTGCTTCTAGCTGAAGGACCTTCACCACCTCCCTGCTTTTGGCCGTCTCTCCTTGTTGTAGTGAGTGCACCATAATCCCAACATTAACAAGCATTTCATTTTATACTGATCAAAATCCATTCGCAACGCCTCATCCGCTGCATCGAGTAGATTTCCCGCAACGTACAGTTGCCAAACCCACTCATAAAGCGGGCCACGGAAGCCTCCACCCTGCAGGTAAGGCCTCCTTCCACAAGCAATTTCCAAGGCCACAACGCCAAAACTAAACATGTCCGATTCTTTGCTGGCTCTCCCTTCATTTGCGTATTCGGGAGCAATGTAGCCGTAAGTTCCTGCCACTCTGGTAGTGTGATGGGTCTTGGACCGGGACTGGGGATCCACGAGCTTTGCAACCCCAAAATCACCAAGCTTAGTTTTGAAATCGTCGTCCAGCAATATATTAGCTGCTTTGATATCCCTGTGAAGGACACACTGCTCTGCGCCTTCGTGTAGGTAATCAAGTGCCAAGGCCAATCCTATCGCTATGTCATACCTCCGGTCCCATGGCAATGTTGTTCTAGGGCTAAATAAATGCATGTCGAGGCTACCGTTAGGCATGTATGCGTAAACAAGGAAGCATTCGGCCCGCTCATAACACCATCCAACGAATTGCACCAAGTATCGATGCATTACACGCCTTATTACTGTGACTTC